TCCTAAAAAAATTTTGTGACTCTACAATAAATTAGCTCAAACAATCTTCATTGGGAAACAGAAATTCTTGTAAAATCTTGGCTCCTGGAATTTTTTCGGATTTTAACTGGGGAATTTGCATTAGTTGCTGTTCAGAGCCTCGTTCTCAAATTATACGTTTGTCAACTTTTCCTGTTGTTTTGACCAATGCCGCGTCGGCTGGTGATAGTCAGCCTGCTACTGGTGATCCTGATCTTTTGACATTAAATTGATAGTTTACCTCGACAAGAAAGTCCGCAATAGCCTGTTGCTCGCTCTCGAGCATTTGCTTCAATGAAACAGCTACGAGATGACGCTTCAGTGCATCTACTTCATTGCCTTGTAAAGTGTTGAATAGACACAATTTGCAGCTGTAAATTAAAAATAATAAAAATATAGCGCGCCCCTCACAGGTTTTTGTCGTTATTTTTTCTGGCAGACGCTTCCACTTAAAAGAACTGAGATTGGTCGCCACGGTTGTCAGAAATTATTGCAGTGGCAACCAATAAACTCGGTGGTAGCCATGCTCAAAAGACTCAGCAAAGAGGCAAATCTGATTAACACTAAAACTGGCTGAACAATCGGTCCGGGAGTCCGGAGTTTAGTGATATTTTGGAATACTAACGCAAGTCGGACGTAACTATGCCAGCCCTTCGATCGTGAACTATACGTTGAAGCCTATCACGCATCCAATATTTGTCTCCAGATTAAGAAAATAGCTACAGCAATCGTATAACAATACAGAAAGTTAATACTTCAAAATTTTAGGATTTTGCTAAACTCATCAAAGTTGTCTGCACAACTGGTCAGAGTGAAATTTGGCAAGCAAAGGGAGTTGGAGGATTGCTTCACCATGTCGACAACTCGTAATCTTTACACATTAGCAAATAATACTTACGAGGCAATAAAAAACTACTCGAGTGGCCTCCAAAAAAGCGCTAGTGGTTTCTAAGACAATGATGAAAGCACAGGATGAGTTGCTGAAGAAACAGCGAACCTCCAGAAATTCAGAAAATTATTTGACTTTTTTGTAGGCGACTTCTCACTGCTGCTTGAACTCCGTCGTTCCTGCACCTTCTGCGGCTGTTGAACATTTCCTCCTGTAAGCGGTAATAAAATTACAGAATTAAATAACCCGAGCATTTGATCACAAATGTTAAAATTGACTTTTGTATGAAGCAATCAAGCACGAATGCCTGCCCCTACGAAGTTAAGCCAGATCCTTGATTCTTGAGATTCTTGATCCTTGATTCCTTTGCTCTCGGTATGTTAATTCTTTAGAAACTGTCGGAGTTTACTGTTTACTATTTTTATTTTTTTTCACTACTTTTTTTATTAAGGTTGCCATTTCTTTGTATCACGATTTTTCTCATGGATTCTATTGAATCTGCTCACAATTTCCACTCTTTGTAATACTATCTAAAGTGGAAGCTGTTTTTCTGCAAATTTAAAAGCGCTAATTTTTAAAACTGACATTAGTTAGTAAGGCCAGAATCGCCAACGTAGTGACTGGCGCAGAGGAAGCACAGGGTCAAAGCTATTGGAAAAGCTATCAGCTGCATAGATGGCAATATT